GAGGTGACCCCCTGCCCCCCTTTCACCCAAGCCGGACAAACACAGCACCCCCAACCGAAAACATCTTCCCGCGCCCCTGCCTCCCGTACCATTTCTACCAGTGATCCTTTCCTTCCCGCGGTAGTCATCACTGTTGTAGGTTGCCAAGTTGAGGGGACAAATGGGTTGCAATTTGTATGTGTCGATTTTGTGAGAAGGATGCGTTTCATACAAGATTTGTTGACGTGATTATTCGTATAATGAGGCTTGTGCCATACAAATACGGGAGTTTTACCGGAGGCGAATGTAGCAAACATATAAAATACGCCCAGTGGGATTTTTTTATGGAAAGATTGAAAATACGGGAAAATATTTAAACGGGATGATAGCGGGATAGAATGGTCAAATACGGGAGAATCCCGGGAAAAACGGGAGGGTTGACAGGTATGGTCCAAGACACAGTTAGCCTACGTTACCACAGACACGTTACGTTTCCATCGACCTGCCAGCCAGAGCTAATCAGAACATACTGCATATTTATGGAAGCATATGGGTAGCAAACATTTTGAAATGTAATATGCAAAATGACAATGCAATATGTAAAATGGCGATGTATTTCTGTATTTAAATTTACATTTCCCCATACATATGTGATGCAATCCATTGCAGTTTGTCATTAGCAGAGAATGAAATGTCATTTACCAGGAACCACCACGTGATGGCAGCAAATGAGCGTAGCAGACAAACACGTCCACCTCAATATAAGCCACCTCAGGAGCCACTGACGACTTTTAAAGCAGGTTTGATTGACCAGTGCTTCATGTAAATGAACCACGTTAGACAACTAGTTGTCTGTAGCCCTCGTGGAGATATGTAAGACAAAAGCACACTCCTCTTACTTCTTGCTAATAATGAAAAATGTTTCACTCCGGTTATGAAAACCAGCATAAAATCGGGGTGGTTGGTGTATTTGGGTGGACAAAAGAATTACGTTATCTGTAACTATGGTTGCAGGTGTTAATCGAGGCTATCATGACTCAGAGAAGGGATTTGTCTTTTAACTAAGCTCTGTCCCCTTGGTTACTGTTGCTAGGCCTGACAAGCTTTACAGAACTTCTGATAAATGATTAGAAAAGATTTATGTAAACAGAGTAGCCTAACTCAAGTGGTAACAAATCAAGAGATATTTTTCACATGCAGGCTGAAATGAAATGCGACATAAAGCGTTTAAAACTTGTTGAATCAAAGTGATTTCTTTAAAGAAATTACATTTGTGTTTCTTCTAAAACTACAGTTGCTCTCAACATCTAGCTGTACATTCCTTATGGATATTTTCCTGCTGTTTGTTTTTATTGTAAGTCATTGTCAGCACATTTGGCTTAATGTGCCTACAGCTGAATCACAGACATGCTTGTGTGATATTGCCTTTATTCGAACACAGAAGCATGTTCCTGTGGCTCAAAGAGAAGAGTATGGTGCTATAAACACTGACAAGGTCATGCGTTTGATTCCCAGAGAATCATGACCTGATAAAATATAAACACTGAATGCAATGTAATGCTTTGGATAAAAGTGTCTACCACGTGTAAAAGCGAGTTCTTTGAGAGCTTAGTGAGCCTGACTTGATGTTGTCATTTTGATGGCAGTGTGGATATATGTATGCTCACCTTAATGTTGTTTCAAACAAAGATGAAAACGTTTCTTGTGTGCTATATTCCAAGCCATATTATAGCTTAGTGTGCAAAATTTAAACTTTGTGTTTTAACTGCTGTGAAGAAGACCAACACATTTTCTTTGGAGTAGCATGCTATGACCCATTCACCATACTATGAATCATTCTCAAATTGAACCAGAACCTTGTATTAAGAAAACAAATGGGGGGCACTTTTCATTTTCAAAATTCATATTGACTTTAACCTCAGTGACAATCACCTAGGGTGGCTGGGCCTCGGGGTCTCATGGAGGCTGTGACCTGCGCTGCGTCTGTCCTTTTCAAGACGTATGAGGCCTTTAGTGCTCCCAGAGTCTAATTCAACATGACAGATCAGTGAGATGGACACTGGGAGAGGACTAAAGGAAAATAAGTGAACAGAAAATGAAATGACAGTGAAGATGAAAGCGAGGTATGTTCTTAGTGTGCAGACGTGTCCAGTAATGACAATAATAAAATATTATTACTGGTGAGCTTGGGCTGACTGAAGGAAAGCAATGAAGACTCTAATGGAAATAAGAGGAAATATGCATGAATTTTGTGGTTCACAAGTTGCACATCATACATCGTTCAAATGTACTTCAGGTGGTGTAATTTTATTAAAATGTAATTGGACATCTTTCACATCAACATCTTTACAATTATTCATGTTATGACTAAAATGGTAGCGCAATTATAATTTCATATACAACATACATTGGTTAGAAAATATATTCCTGCTTATTTTTACTTATTTAACAACAAAAAGAATAATTTCTATACAAAAGGTGTAAGCATCATTTACAGTTTTCCACACTTTATCTGAAGCTTGTAATGGATTGGTTGAACCTCCAAAACGGTATGTTTATAGGTTAAAGAACATATATGTGCTGTGGTCTTTAATGGCCGCTGAGACACAATAATAAGTGCACAAAGGGAATTTGCTTAAAACAAAAGCTAAAAAGCAACTCTAAAAAACCAATGGCAAAATATGTAAATCAGGTCTGTGTTTGTGTACGCTGTGGTAATATTTGATCTAGTAGCCATTCTTGTTCAAAAGCATGTTCCTCTGAACACCGTGTCCAAAGCAAACACTAAATCCTCTGTCTTCATGTAAACTAGTGATTTGCCCTAAACAGCGATGACCACAGCTGTATATTACATTTCAAATATGTCCTGATTAGCTGTGATTGTCACGTCACATGCCATTTTTTTTTCCAGTGGATGGAAACCTTTCTGATCCTGTCTGCTTTGAGCACGGTGTAAAAGCCTGTTAACACCAAGAACGATAACTATAATAATAACTATATTAGCATCCACATGTCCATAACATTCTGTTTATTATAAGCGCACACTGCAGATATGTCGTCTGCCGCTTTAAACGCGTAAGCTCTTAATGGCTGGTGGATTCTGATTGGCTGTCAATGTTTTTAATCGCTCACCAGCTGGGAAAAAAATGCTATGATTCCAATGTTATTGTTCCTCTGTATATAATATATGTGTAAATAAAACAGATTGAAGTACACAAAAAAATAAAGGTTCTTTATTGGCATCCATGGAACCTTTCAAATGCAGAAAAGGTTCTTTATAGTCGAAAAAGGTTCTTTAGATTTTTAAAATGTTCTTCAAAATAGGAACGGTTCACTGAAAGGTTTGTTGGGGAGCCAAAAATGGTTCCTAGGGCTGCACGATTATGACAAAAATCATTATTGTCAATTATTCTGTTAAAATTGTAATTGCGATTATTATTTACGATTATCACAATTTACACTGAATGATGTTTATACCATTGTTTGAAGCAACTGCATGCCATATTTTTATATGAAAATAAACAATCTGAAAACACTCAAAGAGAAAAACTTTTATTGTTTTTCTATAGCATTAAGGCTTAAATGTCAACTGTACATTGCTTGGTTTCTTCTTTAAATAATAATAAAAAAAGTAAAAATATGCATGGTATAATGTTATACTAACACAAAAATTAAAACAATGGAAAAACCCATAAGATAACCTGTAGAAAGACAAAAAAACACATCTTAAGCACTCAGAATAACATAAGTGGACTTTGAACGATTAATTGCCGCTTTGAACCATTACGTAATTGTGGCATCTGTAATTGTAATCGTGATTAGAAATTCGATTAATTGTGCAGCCCTACTTCTATAGCATAACTGCAAAAACATCCTTTTTATTTTTAAGAGTGTATGTATTGAAGTATGTTTTACAAGAAAATACTTTCAGTCTGTATACTTTCTAGTAAAATTTCACATTTAATTCAATGTGTTACTTGCCATTTTTTAATAAATATTAATGAAAGGTACTTTCTACATTTTGTTGTGTACTTGTGGTGTGGACTTCACTATTCTCATAGAATTAGAACTATTATTAAAACTTTATAGTTATCATCCTCGGTGTGAACAGCGTTTAAGGTTACAGCAGGGGATGGTTTTGGCTTCAGTTCATAATAGGTCATCTTTATTTGAGCATAATTCGAGTTATCCACAGAGTCAAATGATGCAAAACGTGAGTTAATGCCAAGCAACAACACAAAACCTACATACTGTTTATCTTTCATTTAAAATTTACATAGATTAAAATAGCCAGCCACACGTGGTCTTCTCTGCCTGTCCGTGTACAGTCCGTTCACTCAGTGCAATCCGTGCTTGTCTATATGACACTGGAGCCCATGCATTAAAAACAGCAATGCAGGACAAAGCCAGTTGTGGTCAGGACTCTCGTTCTCCCTCGTCTTTCTTCGCCATCTCAGAAGTCCATGGATATGGAGCGCTGTCCCGGGTCCACCACGGTGGTGGTGTTGTTGCTACGAGCACTGCCATGGTTTCGGATGGTAATGCTCCCGCAGCCGCTTCCAACACTGCCCGCAGCCCCTCCTACGCTCCCACCCCTCACATAGATTTCACAGGGGATCTCCTCCATCACGCGGTCCTCGATCACCTGCTCGGCGCAGTCGTGAGTCTGTTTGTAGCCGTAGCAGCTCTTCTTGTAGGTGCCGGTGTTGCTGCTATTAAAGGTCTTCATGGGCGGTGGCTTGGAGAAATCGTTGTGGTAAGAGAGCTCCATTGAGCTGAGCGTGGTGCGGCTCTGCTTTGTGCTGCCGCCTGAGGAGGCCTGGGTGCCACAGTGGTGCTCGTGGATGCATCGAGACATGGTGGAGGCACGCCGCAGCTTATGGTAGCCGTCCAGCTCATCTGACAGCTCGGCCAGGTCTGACGAAAGCTCCTTGTCCCGGAGGGAAAACAGCTCATAGTTGGGGGGATCAAAGACCTCCTGGAAGCCGCCTTTGTTGAAGACTGCCGGACGACGGGCCACTACTTTCTTACGAGGTTGTTTCATTTGCACCAGGATGGAGATGATGAGCAAGACCAGAACCACACCAGCAGAGATGCCGATTACCGTGCCGTGCGTTTTTGTGATTTGGTGAAAGAGTCCCTTGGACTTTCTCTCTGAGGGTGGAGAAACAAAGAGCTTTTAGTCAAACAAGCTTTAAAACATAGAGAGACATTCAAACATACTTTAAATAGTTAAAATCTAGTTATATTGCATATATAAAAGCACAAAGAAGTTGACTCATTCAGAGATTCAGAGAAACACCCGAGTTTGCAGCCTGAATGGAATGTATGGACAGGGAAAATATGCCACAAAATAATATTTATAATGTTTTGAACTTGATAGTTGCTCACAACAACAAAAATAGAGACCAGTTCAATTTGTGAACAAAAAGACTCAGTTTGGTAAATGGTATCAGTTTAAGTCAGTATAATTTACATTTATGCATTCAGCAGATTATTTTATCCAAAGGGATTTACAAGACAGGAACATAAGCAATTCATCACAGAGCCAACAATATTCACAGTATACAATGCCACATTTATTAGAAGGCTAGCTTAAAAAAAAAAAAAGCTAAAGCAGAGGAGAGGAGAAATGCAGAAAAGACAAAGAAAAGGATTTTGCTAGTGCATTGGTTTAGGGTTAAGATGAACATTTGTGGTTAAAAAGTATATAAATTTGTATTTTTCTTAGAAAATGACTGATCGTTTCGCTAGATAAGACCCCCATTCCTCAGCTGGGATCGTGTAGAGCACTTTGAAGCTGTATTGAAACTGCAATTTGGACCTTCAACCTGTTGGCCACCATTAAAGTCCATTTTATGGAGAAAATTCCAGGATTGTTTTCCTCAAAAACCATAATTACTTTTTGACTGAAGAAAGAAAGACATGAACATCTTGGATGACATAGGGGTGTGTGAATTATCAGGAAATTTTCATTCTGGAAGTGAACTAATCTTTTAAGTGCTGGCGGAGAATATTGAATTAACATAGACTGACTGAAACATTACGTGAAAATGTGTAAATTTGGGGATTTATACCTTTTTTTAAAGCAAAAGATTTTTCAAAAAGATTTTTTAAAGCAAAGAATTGAGCAAGGATGCATTAAACTGATAAAGTAACAGTAAAGACATTTCTTATGATACAAAAGATTTATTTTTCAAATAAATCATGTTATATTCATCAAAGAATCCTGAAAAACATGATGAAACATGACAGCAAATCAGCATATTAGAATGATTTCTGAAGGATCATGTGACACTGAGCACATTTACTTGCACACCAGTAAGCTGATAACTCACAAATATCAGATAATTAAAATAACCAGGTTTCCCGTTTACATGCACACCAGTAACCTGACAACGCAAGTAAGCTGCGTTTACATGACTTTATTAATAAATCATAGCGTAGCATCAGTTCTGACAGGCCACGTTAGTCAAGCTCGCATCAGCTGACTCTCAGCTGATCCACATCTACCTATAGAGATGAGACACCAATCACAGCACTCATATATAAGGTCCTTCAGTATTATCATCAGCTTCGTGTTGCTCAATAGCTAATTACCCTCCTCCATCCCCAACTCCTCCTCTTGTCAGTCAGGATTCAGCCTTCTGATTCTCCTTGAATCAGACTCATTTCAAAATGTTATATTAAATGAATGAACCTAATGATATCATACATTTATGTTGGTTCTGTTCTGTTACACTAGGGAGTTAATGCTGCTCTCCCTGCTCTTATCCATGCTAGACTGCATGAATGCGCAGTGAGTTCTTGCCCAGAACAGAACCATATACCGCCAATCCAAATTGTATGCTAATTGTCAGTCATCTTTGACGATAGTGGTCCTGACAGAAATCAGGTTAATTCCCTTTAGTGACGTCAAAATATAATCATTTGTGTATCTGACTCCGAGTATTCCATATGTTTGTCAGTTGTGATGTTAAAAAGCTAAAGCTTGCAACATGTCAGCGTGAAACTTACAGCTCATATTATCCTCTCATGCAGTTATAAATGCAGCGTTTTGACTCAACCACTTCTACTTCTGCTGCACGAGATGAGAACACATCATTTTGAGTCATGAAAGAGTCTGCTTTTGTGATATATTTACTGCATAACGTTTGCTCGGTCTAGATGCACTAACGATGCGTTCCTGTCACGTATCACACTTGCGCACTTCAATAAGCCAACAGAAAGTGGGTTATTTATTGCGTTTACATGCCGCGCGAAATTAGGGTAAGAGGCAAAAAAACTACCTGTGTCGACCGGTTTATGCTTACGCCGTTTATGACCTTACTCCGATAAAAGAAAACGGGTTACCGCGTTTACATGACCACGCGTGTTTCTGGCTTATTAAACATAAGCGGCATGTAAACGTGCTCACTGAAGACTGGAGATGACCAGTAATGGCTTTGCCATCACAGGAATAAATTACATTTTAAAAGATGTCATATGAAAATAGAAAACAGTTATTTCAAATTTACTTGATTTTTGCAGCATTGGAGAGCATTTTAGCATTACTAACCCCAAACTTTTGGTAGTGCGTAAATTCAAAAATAAATGTTGAATAATCTAAAGGATATTTTACAAATAAATAAAACAACAACACTAAAACATGTTACAAAAACAGAATGGTTTTGTTGAAAGAATAGCATTTTAACCACAAACGGAGGTTACTGTTTCAGGTGTTGCAGGTGAGAAACAGAAGCTGGTGTTTATGCAGTAACTCACCCTTGCAGTGGTTCTCATCCCAGGGGTAAACGCAGTTCTGAACGCCGTTGCACACCAGTGAGTTGTTGATGCACATGTTGCTGTGACAGAAAAAGGTGCTGCTGGAGCATGGAGCTGAAAAACAGAACAGATAGAGAAGATTAAATCTCTTAATAACAAGGCAACCCCTATTCTTTCTTCTCATAGCAGGCCATGTGCAGATACGTGCGCCTCATGCCTGTGCCACAGGCTGTGTAGCGGGTGTTGAGCACAACACTATAAATCAAATCTAACAGCCATCACAAAGCCCATCTGGCCAAGTTGCCATGAAGCTCTTGACTGAACTTACGCTTAGCATGCTAGTCAGAGCGGAGGGTAACGAAGAATGGAAAGCGAGGGAGAGGGGGAGATAAGCTTGTAATTGAAGGTGAGTGCTGATCTCTGGGGATGAATCCTTCAGGCTGCGTCTGTAAACCCTGACACTCATCTCCTCATCGCGTCTCCCTCTTTCAGCTGCACAGCCTCATCCCTCGGTCTCCATTTTATGCCAAAACCCAAGCATCCTCCTTATAACTGCTGTGCTAGAGCTTGAGTGAGGAGGGAAAAATCTCATCCAGTTTAAAGGACTAAGTGCTTCTGACAGAGGCTTGAAGAGGTCGTAACTTTCATTTCCTGGCAACGGCTCCCTGCTCCCACTATATTGTGCTCATTTCCAAAATTGTTCGACATTTCTTGCCTTCCAACAGTGGCCATTGACGACTGCCAAAGTCACACCACATCCCCTGACACATTATCGCTCATCAGAGGAATGGGGTGAGGCGCCAAGTGTATTAGTTAGAGAAGAAACATTAAGGGTGGCGATCCAGAGCAGGATGTACACAGTCTGACAAGATGAATGTGCACTACCATTCAACAGTCTGTGGTCAGTAAGAGTTAATGCTAATACTGCTTTACTACTAAATTAATACTTTCATTCTGCAATGATGCATTAAATGATAGTAAAGCCATTGTTACAAACAATTTTCAAATATTTGTTTCTTTCAGTACATCAAAGAATCCTATAAAATGTATCACAGCTTCTTAAAATATTAAGAAGCACAATTTTTAAGAACTGATAATACGAAATGTTTCTTAAGCAGCAAATCAGCATGATTTCTGAAGGATCATGTGACACTGAAGACTCATCTGTCATCACATAAATTACATTTTAAAATATTACATAAAATATATAATAATACTTCATAATACTTCATAATTGTTTGATCAAATGAATCCTTGGTGAGCATAAGAGACTCCTTTCAAAAACATTACACAATCTTAGTGACCCCAAACTTCTGAATGGCAGTGTATCTGTGGCACTGGACCAGAGAAAACTCAAATGCGAACATGTATTATTGTTATTGGTGTGCATTCTGATGGTAAAAGGACAAATCTTCTGTAGTGCTCAGAGTGTATGTGAGGTTTTGAAACACACAGTGGAAAAGAAAGTGAAATTGTTGCTCATTGCCAAGATGGTAGTGAAGGCATTAAATGAACCAACTAATCCAAACACAACTTGGCTGTGCCAATCTATTCACAGCGCTGCAAGGCTTTCAGCAGCTCTACGAACACAGCCATGAAAATCATTTGCATTTGCCACTGCGTTTGCGCTCTAAGCAAGATTAATTTTCAGATGGAGTTGACATTGAATGCTGCAATTAATTCCTCTGATTATTCTGGCATTTATTAAAAGTATTACAAAGTAGAGCAAAAATATCCATTTGCTCCATGGTAATTTTCCAGAATTTGCATACAACCTTTAAACACCAACTGTCCTGAAAAGCAAAGTGGAAAGAAAATGTGATATATCATTCATACCAAAACATCTAACTCACGAAATAAAGCTTCATTTAGTGTTTTCTTTCTTTCTTTAAGAGGTGCAGATAACTTCCAATTTTCCATCAAGACTGACCCATTAGCATGAGGTTGGGGGAGTAATTGGCTTTTTGATATCACTGCTTTCTACAGAGATCACTTTAATTAACTTCACACTCCTTAAATGATCCAATTTTAAATAAATGCCAGCTTGTTCAAGTCAACTCCCATGGATCATAGCATATTTCAGTCAATTATTAAACATCTTTTTTTCTGACATTTCAAGCAACGTTTGTGATAAACTTGCATGCTTGAAAAGAGCTGATTTCAATTTATGCATTAGAATGTAAAGGTTGACAGATAACAATATTTAATCCCAGTGCATGTAACAGTTAAACAGAGATGTACAACAGCATTTTCTTGCATCATATTAAGTTATGTAAATGGCTTGTCATTTTCATGAAATTTGGCACATTATAACCTAGGGATCTGTCCTGTTCGCTTTGTTTTCGTGCTGTTTTCATACTACGGTTAGCAAGAATGCTTTCTATCCTGGACAGGCAGACTCTGCCTAAAGCACATTAGAAAATGAAATATAAATGATGTTTCTACCCAGCCTGCTAGCTTTAGCTCTTTTTTTTTGCTAGCTGACTTGGCACAGACTTCTCCAAAGGTCACATCCATCCATACTAACTTTCTAGCACCGTGAAAGCCACTGATTTGCCCATGAAATATGAATGCTTTTCACTGCTTCTCAATTCAATGATACAAGCAGCCGCTAATAGTCTTCACTGTGTTTTATTGATCTGTATATTTGGCTATACTCACTTTGTCATTCTGTATTAGTTACCAACACTGTACTTTTGAACGTTAAGAATGTCTATACTCACGATCTACAAATGAGGTGAAGAGCATGCGGAAACGGCTGAGTCTGCTGCTCTCGTCGGCCCACATGCGCACAACGCCCACGCCGGTATCCAGCATCACGTCATTGGCCACCGTGCTGCAGAACTTCGCTTTCAGGTTCTCAATGGCGCTGCTGCCGTCATACACGGCCACAAAGTTCTTCTTGCACTCATTTGAGTGCTCCATCTGGTACTCGAGGAAGCGAAGGTATATCTGTAGGGATGAACCAACCTTTAGCAAATGCATCAGCTAGATTCTGCAAAATGCTGACTCGAACAGGACAAGACAGAATACAGCAAATTTCAAAAAAGGAATTTCGAGCAGCACGGAAAATACTACTGCAGTTTGGTCTGACACAAACTGAACTATCCTGATCTATTGGGACTGCTTACTGAGAATAACAACAACAACAAAAAAGCTCCTGGCTATGTTTTCTTTAAGACACAGGCACAAAAGATTACAAAAAAAGTTGGCCCTCACAACTCTAATGACTTATCTTCATGCTTTGTAATCATTCACTCTGCCAAGTTCTTTAGGTTTTTTTTTTTTTAGCCTGCTAAGTGTTCCGGTCTGCTTAGAGCAGGTGAGTGTATAATCCCCGGGCCATCTTAATGCCGTTTTCTTCCCTCAGTCTTATTCCTTGTACTTGCTGATTCGGCTCTACCGCCATTTCTGCATCATTGGCCTAATTCCTGCTGCTGCTGCATTGCTAATTTGAGCTCTTGAAAAGTTTTCTCAGCAGAAAAAGGGTCAGGGGGGCCTGATGGCCTCCTGTGGTCTCGTCAGGCCCTGGTTTTAGGTGCTCATATATCTGCTCGTGGCAGAAGAGCAGGGTCATCTCATTTGATGAACTGTGCAGGTAAAGGAGAATCAAAGAGGGTCACCTTGGACTGCGGAGGGGCACGGATGGTCCAGATGCAGTCCAACGCATCTCCATTTTTGACCTTATCCTCTTCTTCCACCTGACTGGAGCGGATGACTCCGTCTGTACCACTGATCTCAAACTGGCAATCTGCCGAAGAAAAAGGTGGAAGCGGGAAAATACAGGGTAGAGTGAAATAAGGAAAAGAGAAAACCTAAAGTGGCACTAGCTAAAAGAAACCAAGAGAAAGCAGTGACTGCAAATGGGAGGCAAATGGAGGGTTTTTGGAGAAAACAGAAATGGAAAGTCCGACAAGAGACAGAGTCAGATAGGCAGCATAAGACCAACAGAGAGAGGGAGGAGTGGAGGATGTCAGTGGCAGATAGCCTGCAGCCTGCCGCAGAGAATAGAAAGCACTTGAGATGGAATTGAAGTAGGGGGTGAAAATATTGAGGGGCTTACCTGGAATTGGATTTAGCAATCCACCGACGTGCAAATGAAAATCTGGGTCTGAAATGATAAGACAGATATCGCATTACCCAGATAGCACACGCTGGAAATCCCATGCTCCAAACATGCATTAAAATCCAGTTTAAGAGAGCCGTGGGTGCTGCGGTGCAAAGATCTGCCGTTTGATCTAATAAACAGCATTTAGTGTTTGTCTTATTAGACCTTAAGCACACAGAACATCTGAAAGTCTTAAAGCTACTGCATCTGAACAGGATTTGGCCCAGAATTGTCATGCCTAAAAATCAAATAAATCAAGTTGAAGAATTTATATTCAAAGTATAAGGAGAGCATAACAACAACAGCAAGCTTGCATTAATATTTCCTACACTGTAAAAATGTGCTTCATGTGGTAATCTCTAAATAAATAGATTTTAAGTAACAAATTTCAAATACAAATAACATCAATGAATCAACCTAAACACATTAAATTATACCAACAAAAGTAATTTCAAAGATTAGATCAGGTAGAAATAGCTCCTTAAGGTAACAACTACAGGTTTCCACATTTTACAGTGTATAATAGTGGTCATAAATGATAAAATTGTTATCAGAAGTTGCCATTGAGGATTATTACAAAATTGTTGTGAAATCTAATTTACATAAGGAAGGTGGTCCCATTTATATGCGAAGGTAATTAATTTAACGGAATGGAATCCAATCACCAATTGCTTAAATCACTGGATTCAGTCAAATTTACTGAATACAAACTCCTGTTTGTGCACATCATGCATCAAGTCAGACAGACAGACAAGCAATGCTGCAATGTGAAACAGGCAAGCAAGGACTCTACAGCATCAAGGCCACCTCTTTAAATTCAGAATGCATTTATGAAGCAAATACACCAAACTTCCTGCTTTCACTGTCAGGGTTACCTGCTATAAAAGTGTATTTGACGCGGAAACCTAAGCCTTCCAGCTCCTCGTCGCTAGTGAATTTAATCCACATGAAGCGGCCCGTGGAGGTGACCACGCCTGGACTCTTTGGCCCACAGAAGCGATCAATAAGAGGGGAGAAACCAAAGGGACCATCCCTTATCTCAATATGGTCGAAGCGGCACTCGAAGGAAGGCTCGATATAGTATGTTTTGTCAAAGGCCAGCTGAATTCTCTGTCGAGGGAGAGCTGCAGGAGAGAGGGAATCGAGAATGAAAGAGCAAACATTATATTTAGTTTATAACTGTACAGTATGTGACACGGTAACCTGTGCTGGAGGAAGCCATTGTCTATTCTGCAAGACACCTTCCAGAAATTGAGCTAACACAATAATACTACATTGTACAATTATAATATGCAGTCAAACACAGACTCTCATTCTTACACACACACACACACAAGGGGAAAATGTATCAAAATGAACAATACAGATTTTACATCCACATTTCATCCAGGTCCACATTATGAACAGACAGTCTACTACAAATGAAGATGAATTCTCTTTCATAACCTTGTTGAAAGAACATGATAGACCATTACACTGCAATGCACATCTCATTTGAATTCATTTTGATTTATTAATACAAATAGAGGAATGTCCACACTAATCTCCAATTTGTGTTGTACATAAATACACAAACATGTAGTACAATGAAGCAACCACTATCCACTAACTAAATTTTGAATTTAGGTCACCTGCTTGAGGCACAACAACCATAATCATATCAGTCCCTGAAACAAATAACCAATGTCACTGTTGATTTAGGTTTGTTCGGCTGTATTTGCTGCTGCTTGCATTAAAACCACATACTCTGCATTTTCAATAGTTATTTATCAAGAAAAAATAGCTTCTTTCTGTTCTACATATAAAGGCAAATAAATATGCACAGGATTACTAATATCCATTCAGTTAAATAAGTTCCTAAGGTAAATTAATGTCACTTAGGCCATTGGGTAATGTGGAAACTCCATCACGTGCAAGTATTTGTTAAAATGTTCATACTCTATCTACATTATCTTGTTGGTCTGAAATGTGAAAAAGGATTGCACATGTTGAAAGGATTGAAAGGGGCAATCAGTCGATGGTAGCCACATTTATTTATTCAACAAAAATAAATAAAAACAGAAATAAATGCTTATATCTAGTTTAAAATGATGATTTGAAAAATTATATATTTATTTCCCTCAAAAGTATTTGAATGTACGTCAATTTGCTTCGCCCACAGGGGGCGCTCTTGCACTGCTTCAAATACTGTTATACCAGTACAAAATTGTCATTCACACTTGTAGTGTTATACTAAGATGCACCAGCAGATATGATGCTGTTTAGAGAATATAATTAATGTTGTATATACCATAATGATAAAGAGAAGAGTTCTTAAGTTCTTAAATTCTTAAGAGGCAAAATATAACACTCCTATATTAGTAAACATTGTTAACTTGAGGCAGACATCAATCATGCTGTCATTAACAGTTACTGTCAGTTTGACATCTAACAGCTGAAGAATAGCCGGAGAGGCTTCTTTCAGTTGCTTTTAGGGAGGTTACCTTCTAGGATGTACACACACTCCTTGTTGGGCGGATAGGAGTTAGGATAGTTTGGAGATGTAAACAGGCCTCCATTGATATTCCGGGTCCACTGGCCGCACTGCTCAGCGTTAGACAGAGATTCACCCGCATTCTGCGTCTCTGTGAGAACAGATAGATGACGGGAGGATTGAGGAAACAGGAATGAAACAGACAGAATATGGCATTTGTTCGACCAAAATAAATGAAAAGTGCAACTAAGATTAGCAATCACTGAAGCAGAGTGAAGAGACTGGGTCAGTATGTTTGCAGACGGTGACAGTCATCAACAGCTGACCATAGAGTCCCACACTGATTTGAGTAAGAATTTGTACATATTTATTTTGAGCTTACAAAGAAATACAAAAACAAATATTTCAACCCTAGATCCACTTGTCTGGTCGATAGTAGCATTTCTTTTGCATTTTTAATGAGTTTAAAACTCTACATTTACTGGCCAGTTCAACCACAAACTGTTCAGAAACTGAAAGCAAAAAGAGCTGCATGGAAACCCTCTGCAAGCGCCCAGTGCAAAAATGTGTATAGATAGGACTGTCACAGTTGACAATTCCGATATGAGTGTGATAATGTGTGAGTCATACCTTTAATTTTCTGCGCCAGGGCAAATCCCTCTTCTATTACAACGAGGAGAACCCAGGCTGGAAACAAAAGTGAGCAAGAGCATGTCAAATGTTAGCAGACAAAAATAGGCATGTGACATCGCATTCTAGCCACAATCGTGTCCTTCATCCGACACGATGTTCAGGACACCCATATACAAGACTGGGAAATACTGTATCAGCACTGCAAAATGACCATACCGGAAATGACTTGGATTCTTAAGTATCCTGACATTGGTAGATCCTTAAAAACAGCACAGAATCTGACTGATCCAGTCTCGTCTCTCTCTGTCTGAAACCGACTGTTCTAACAGCACTGATTCATTGTGCAGAGGCAAAGGCCATGGGCATTGTGGGGCACATTGATCACACCAAACTCCTCTATTACTCTTCGAGCCCCGCATCTGGACAGGAATAAATCTGTCAGACTGATCAAACGTTGAAGATCCTTGTTATGTCAAAACAAGTCTTGCACTTGACACCCTTCTCTGACACAAGGCCAGATGGCCAAAGATTCCCTGCCTCGAAAATTTATAATTAAATGACAAAGCATCACACACAGCCACATTGTTGATTTAATTATGATGCAATATTAATTTATTTCCTTCTGGGTTTTGTGAAAATTAATTATCTAGACAGCAAAATAATGCAATGAACGGTCTCAAGCGTGTTTATAGTGTTGGTCACTGAATTGGCAGTAAATTGGTATTTATTTTCAGGCCAATCAGTTGCCATTCATTCAGTATGATAAGACACAGCTGAAGACAGCCACATGTGCGTTATGTCAAGTACAGCGTGCCTCTGCTTTCATTCTGGTACACTTTTTACAGCCAGTGTGCAAACGAAATCAAAAAGACCCAATTTCCAGGGTTCTCGGAAGCAAAGTTGTCATAGATTAGTAAACTTTTATAGGCTAGTGACGAACAGCAGAATATAGCAAATATGGTGGAAGAAAATCACATGTGTTTCCGCGACTTTCTAAACAGAGAGAGATTGATTATACCATTAGAAAGGAGATGTCAAATTTATCATCACCCCCACAGACAACTTACAATGTTAATAACAGTGGAAACGCGTCATCAAAGTCGGTCCAACTTTCTGTTTTCTGTTCAAGATTATATTTAAATATATATTATATCTATTATATATTGCCGATGACTATTATAGATAAATAAATAAATAAATATATATATAATGGATATTATATGTATATAATGGATATTATATGTATATAATGGCCCGGGTATACAATATATCCTCCTGACTGCCAGCTATGGAGTTTTGTCCTCTATTTTTTTAGCGATTTCTCTGAGACGTTACATGTCATAGTTTTAAGTCTGGATGTCCTGTACAGAGCACATTCAGGGCTTTTCAGAGATACCAAATGATTGGATGTTTCACCATGACCACTCCCTCTCCTTGGTCTTTAAAATGACTGACATTAATTTAACGATCAAGTGTAACACCCTTATGGAAATATAATATTTTGTAATTATCATTTAAATCTGACTAATTTTCAAATTGTTTGTCATAAATCAACATCTCAGGAAAATGTTATGGGCTTTCAGATCAAATTATGACCTTCTGATATCGATTTCTTACATGTCCACTGTAGAGGACACCAGGACTTAAAGCATGTTTATTACACATTATGGGAGACACAACAAATGAATAGAGAAAAAATTATGCATCAATATTCCTATTAAATATTAGATATTATTATGAAAATCTTGCTAATTATTACTCCTATTACTGGACTTGCACTTATTTGTTCATTCTATGTTGCCCCAAAAACACATTTATATGCAAATTATAAACAGTTTATAGATACATTTTATGTAATGGAAAAACTAGTTTATGGCCATTTTACACACATTTTACATAAACAAAAATGTTTTTTAAAAATATCTTTCATAACATAGTTGAGAATCATCTTTATATAAAGTCTGGTATAAAAATGAAAATTGATTTGCGATTAAAACAAAAATCCCACTGTTTTTGCCTTTTCAAAAAAAGGACTTTTTAAAGTCCCGATGTCCTCTACAGAGGACATGGCATAACATATGAATACATTTACATTTAGTCATTTAGCAGACACTTTTATCCAAAGTGACTTACAAATGACGACAATAGAAGCAATCAAAACTAACAAAAGAGCAACAACATATAAGTGCAAATGACAAGTCTCGGTTAGCCTAAGTACAGTACACGTAGCAAGTTATTTTTATATATTTTATATTAAATTCACAAAACTGTTTTTTCCTGGTAGTCAGGAGCAGAGCATGTGAGCGAAGGCTCCGCTACGTTTTCCGCTCTATGGACGTGCGCTCCACTCAGTCGCTCTAACCGCCCAAGCAAGCGCTCCGTTAACCACTCCGCTCCCCGCTCCGCTCCGCTCACATGCTCTGGTCAGGAGGGTATAATGGAAATCGCTCAGGTGGCAATTTGTTGCTATGGTAACCGCGCCGCCTGTTTGTCAGCGTTTCGAAGGCTGCGCCCTATGGGTGCTGGCTGCATACATCGAGACGGTATCACTTCAGAAAAGTAACCATTACATTGCAGAGTAGGAAACAAATTACTGTAATTTACGAGGAATAACAGTAATTTTAAAGATTAGTTTTTTTCTGAAATGAGACATCCTCAAAGAGATTTAGGACAAAAACGACCTCCTGAGGGCGCAGCTTTCGACATTTATTTAGCGCACTTGCACTACTTTTGTGCTTGTTAAAACCTTGTTTTAAAGATGAAACATCTTTATGAATACATGTAAATAAATAGGAGGACAGGGGATGTGTTATATGTAGCCTATATCGTTTCAGCTGGGTTTCAAACATTTCCTTGACCCCAAAAGTAAAAGGCAGGGCGCCTATTTTGACCTGACAAGGAAGTAACCATAGCAACAGTACTTTTAAAGAATTATCATCGGACGAAACGCTGTAATTCTTTTTTATTTGGCTAACTGCTAGGAGCACCAAAAGACAATTCCGTTACTGCTCGGGCTGAACCTCAACAGACTGTGTTTACCTTGACCCGAAATAATACATCAGCGTGGATTCATTTGCTAAAATGCATGTTTGGCAAAGAAAAGTCAAAGGCGACAATCTCCGTGTGATGAAACATGCCGCTCACGCTAGAGGAGGAACCCTATGTCTTGAAGAGATGTCAGACAAACACGCACGAAAGATGAACCCAAGAGCTCACAACTTGTATATAGGCTAAAGGCAAATGAAGAAAATGCATAATGAAAAAGGTTTTAGAGTAGCCTAACTTAATTAAATCGATTTTGTCCTTAAAATGAGGATGGCAATAGTGGCTCCAGATCTCACATAGGATCGGATTTTCTGCATGAATTAGCCTATCTTGACTGCTGTCTGGTTTCAAATGAACACACATCTGGGATGAGCCCCATGGGACGAAGCGTTAAAATGTTATGATGCGTTTTAGTAATGTGTCCACACAAAAACCCAAACAAATCTCACTACTAAGGAAAAAAAATATATATACTCGCTTTATTATACCCTTAATTGACCAAAGAGATTGACTAGCTATTTTCCACTGAACTGTAGAGCTTAATGTCCTTTGAATTAAATGCGGCACTTTACAGGTGACAGTCTGCCTGTAGCATATCACTGTGAACTATAAATACTTCAAACTAATTACTCATACTGGTGTTAAATACTTCACGTCTCCTTCATTTCTTTACAAAAACTGATTTCTTTAGTTTGTGATTTTGACATTCTCTAAGGCAACACTCGCATTAAGCCAAATAGAAATAATAAGCGCAGTAGGATTAATCGTCACAGACGCATCTCGTTATAAGCCAAACAGTACAATCTCATTACGGAATCAACAATGCTTTGGTTGTAATTCAAATGTGCAATAGAGCAGTTGATGGCAAATCAATTTAGGTTAGAGTGAAATTTCGCCATCATCATCTTTCACATTCATCCAAAACATAGAATTGGTGAGATTCTGACTTATTTTAGAGCTTGATCTTCTTCGTGGGCCTTAATTCACAGACATGTGGTCATAGGCTATATTTTACATGACAGTGTTCGCCTTGTGATCGCACAAATGCGAAATAGTGAACATAATATAAATAAAAACACATACATATTTTTGTGAATATGAAATATTTTAATTATATTAATATATATTAATTATATTGGTCTGTATTGTAGCCTACATTGCTATACAACGCGTTACCACATTTTGTCTTGTTTGCATGGTCTGAATTAATTAGCTAACTGGGAGTTGAAAACAGGAAAATGATCTCAATATACATTTACAGAAACCTCGATATCACGGTTCATCAGTAGAGGGGGTCATGAGGGCTGGGGAGCAGCAGCTCGCGCTCCAGATGTGGCACGCGGGAGCTGTCACTTCAGCACTCGCGCGCCGCTTCTGCAAATGCCACGCGCTCACGCGGCGAAGTTGCAAGAGACGCTGCAGAAATCTAATGCAACTCGCCTTTTGTTCGGTGACTATACAGCTTTTAACGTCCAAGTGGCCATTTTTGATGGCTAACAGTAACACAATACATTTCCCGTCATACAAATGAACAACGGTTTAATGAAAATGAAGCAAATAACGAATAGAAATTGATTTGCCAGAACTGGCACATGTGATACATAGCTAATAAACAAAAGCACACCTGTAGGTGGCGACGCCACGGTTAGCCCTGAAAACTGTAGTTTGTTATTACGGCTCTATGAATGTTGAGATGTATTTGTTTTGTTGCAACGTCCATATAGAACCAAACCGCGCGGTGTTGTCAGACACGCAACAAAAAAAGAAAGAAATGTTGGTTGAAACTCACCTCTGTGCATTTCCTCTCGTTGTGAATTACCGCTGCTTCCACCTTGGTGAGCTCTGTTAGACGAGCTTTATCTCTCCATTTTACCAGACCTACAAATCCCAACTTTTCTTCGATCTCGTTAATCCCATTCCTCAAACTGGAAAGAAACCACTGTATTCCTCACAGAGAACTCAAGTCCGCCTGACAGGTTGTAAATGACTGAGTTAATAATCCTGCTGAGAAATGTGCTTTGTAAATCCACATGCAGTGTGTCACCATTCAAATACGCGGCGAGTCCGGGAAGAGACGCGCGTCTGCGGGAGTCTCGGGCTGAACTGAGGTGATCGCACTAAACCAGGCTCATTTGAGCGTCGGGCGCTGCTAGCTTGAATGAGCAGCCTGTGCGCATGCGCACTTCACGAGAGTACGACGCGGTCAAGTTAAGGTGACGTGATTCGCCACGGCCGCAGCATCAAGTGAATTGATTTATTCTTTATTGAAGAGTTGAGTAATTTACTGTAAAGCAGGCTGTTTTTTGACTAGGGACGATGTAGGCAAACAACAGCCTCCAGTCATGATTTCATTTAAATCATTTGACGATTGTCTAGTGATAACAAACAGTCCTCTCCATTAATGCTTGAACCTTGTTAAATAGAAATGCATTTTTTTTTCAGGGTATAAGACGCGATGAACTCATTGCCGATGACTAGTATCTTCTGACTCATCTGCTATATCTTCTGGAGATGTATCCGAACTGTAAGTGAATTTCAAATCAACCCAAAACAACTTGAGGAAAACGCATAAGGTAATAAAGCATTTGGTCATGTTTATTTTCAATACAACATTTCAAAAGACTACTGACAAACAGCATTTAAACGCAACCAAACATTTTGAGAGTGATTCATTAATAATTAAAACAGTGCACAGATGCACTGACCAGAAACAATTAGTGAAAACCATCTGCAATAATTGCATGCCAGTTAACATGCAGGTCTAGTATGCAGCTGTATTAGTGTGGTTTGTCAACTGATTTTGCCTTTGATAGTGAAGTCAATTAATGTGCATATGGTGCACCATAACAACACCATTTTTAAAGGTAAAAGAGATTAGCATATAAATCAATGCATGGATCAGAGCACCTGTCAGACATATACAGCGAAGAACAAAACCCTTCACACTGAACATTCTTCAGCAGCACGTTATTAATTTCCAGTGTTTTAAAAACAAGTAAAATAAATAAATAATACCACTTAGAAATCAAGGAAAAGTACCTAAAGGCATTAGTGACAATGGAAAAACAACCCAGAGTTTAAGTATTCATAACAGTGCCTTACAATCGGAAAGAAGACAGACACAAAGGGAATTACTAGAATGCAAACAGAAGAGAGTGCATGCAGAAACAACAAACCTGCTTTATGTTGACTATGGGCAATTAAGATTGGGGACTTGACTTCCTATATAATGTTGATATCCAGTGTCAAGTTAATGAATCAAAACACTGAACTCTCTGGGGAATCATTTGGATGTGGTTGGCACGGAGTGTTGAGAGTCAATGCAATACTTTATTGTGAAACAATGATGCCATTTTTAATGACTCCATACAGCTAAATGCCTATTAAAATCAGTTTGCAGAGGACACCTTTGTTAACAGGGGGCCTAATGTAGTGCTTAGATTCAAAGCGTTTATTTAGTAAAGAGGTTCAGTGATGTGAAAGAACTATCACGCAGTCACATTCATAGACACAGAGGCTGACAATTAATTAAGTCCTTCAAAACACACAACAGAAAACTTGAAACAAAACAAGAGAAAATTACCGGTTCTATTTCTGCCCACTTGACATTTACCAGTCACTTTAACGATACAGAAAAAGAAAGTTTTAAAATAACATGTTTATCCCAAACCTAAGTACAAAAATGGCACGAAATACTTTTCTCTCTTCTCAATGTGCAAACATCATTATGCGTTTAGGATCATGTAAACAAACTTGACAGAAACATACCTCTTCTCTTCAGAAGTCAACAGATCCACAGAGACATCACTGTTCAAAATAATCACATTTAGATGGATTCCTCTTATTTCAGACATTATTAAATGCATAAAAATGCTCCAGTGTGGAAAAAAAATGAAAATAAATAAACCACTGAAATGAAAGACCCAATCTTCTCCGCGTTCACCCACAACGCTCTCTCCGGTTTCTCACATGGCATCAAAATGGAAGCGATGGGCCTCCTGTCTCTTCTCCCGGTCATCTGCTTTCTGTAACACACAAACACTCAAAGTTTACTACATGCTGTAACTTCACGGTCCTGATTGCAGAAGCTGCATCTCGCTCGTTAACCGTGCCAGTGAGTTGAATGCAAACACAATACAATGGCGTTTGATACATCAGGAGAGGGAAAAGGACAAACACAAAGAGAGACAGACAGACAGAGAACTCATAGCACACACAATGGCACACTTTACCACGGCGAAATACCTCTGTGTGCGATCACAGATAGAGCCAACACTAGACACTTGCTCCCTGAGACTGATAATAACACACACTGCCGAGCCTGGAAAGTGAGCGTGTGTGTGTGTGCTCAGTGATGATCCTGTCTCGGCGATGGCAAAAACGATGTCTATTCTCAGCTAGTATGAGTGACTCACGCACCGGGTCCCTCTGTGAAACACTTGTGAATTGGCTCTCCTGTTCTATAAGGGTCACGTATAAGGATGTATCTTTAGCTTTATGTTTGTCGTTTCCCATCTAGTAACTTGTGGAAAGCATGTCGGCCATAAGCAAAATGGCAAATCAGTTAAGAAGGGAAAAAAAAGCAATGTGCCAGACAGATATAAGAAGGGATTATTTTCCTTTTCAAAAGGACTTTATATCTCACAGACCATGCAAAGAGAGCCTGAGGCTTTGACTGAGCGCTGTCAAGCCCTACGCTATCTGCTCAGGAGCATCCAGATGATATCTATTCACAAGATATACGGATTTTTCCACATGATACGGTGCCGAGTCACATCAACATCACTATTCGTCGACTTTCATTGCCATAATTGAGGGTTGTAGTGCAAATACATACCTATGGGTTCATCCTCATTTCAGGTCCATTTAAGTGTGTTCAGTGAGTCACGGGTTAGTCACAGACTCATTGATTACTCTGTCATGAGTGCTCAACTTAATTACATAGTTAGTGATAAAAATAGCCTGTACGCTCCTTCAAGCTCAGGATCACTAAATAGCAATACTTGCACAGTTGTAGCATGTCTGACCTGTCTGTTTTAGTTCTTCCAGCAGCAGCCTATAAGTAATAGTAATGTAATAGTCTCTGTCAGATCAGCTTCCAGCTATTTAATGATGCAACTTCACATGATTTCTAACACTGGCACGGTACCAAGGAAAGTTCAGTTTCCACAATTTTGTATTATGTTTTTGTTGCAGAAACGCATCTTGAATTCGTCCGCCACACATTGGGTTTGACGTGTGCTCTCCAACAAGCACACCTCAAGGCGCTGACATGCTTGAACATATATATGTACATAATACCAGGTACTGATGGAGCCGTAGGCAACATATAGTACAGGATCTATATGCTGACATTCACATGACCCACACACATCTGCAGTCTCCCGCATGGAGGAGGATTAGACGCAGTCATGTTGCCTGCGAGGCAATTTTATAAAGACCTTTCCATGTCAAAATCATGTTCTCCTATTATAATTCAATAAACAGATCAATATTACATTATTTATTCAATTAAATTCCGGCACCTGTTTTGCTGTACACTTGTCACATACTTGTAATATGGTTTTGTTTTGAATAGCAATATTATAGTTGCCATGAAATGGACTTCACCCTTTTTTATAAATGCATCTTATTGTGAACAATTCAACTATGCTTGTTTCATAAAATAAATAAATAAAATAAAATAAAATAATTGGCCTTTAAATGTTTAATCATAACTGGATCTTCTGGCGAAACAACAGACTTCTCTAACCATTTCATCCACATTTCTTACAATTGATTGCAAGCTCATTCAGATATGCCTCCATTCAACATAATCGGTTTCAAACTATGTATGTTAAAATATGGAAAAAATAAGATTTGTCGCTACTTCTGTTTTCAGTCGCAACTTTAAAATTCCAAAAAGTCAATGCTTATTTGATTTTAATTTACTGATAAATTAAATTTAATCTTTTTTGTACTAAAAAAAAGCATAATTAAATACCCAGTATCAACCAATTTCTAAAGGAAACACATGGTGCAACTGTATGCTTCTCGTTCTTTTTGAGTAATTGAGATGGTGTAGCTCCTTTTGTCATTATAACCCAAAAATTCAAAAAAAAAAAAGAACAAAACCAAAAACCAAAACCAAAAACCAAAACAATTTTTCTTGTCATCATGTCTTATCACATGTCTTCAGGCAATTCTTTAAGCGAGGACATCTGCATGCAGGAAGACAAGGTGTGTTTCTGCTCCATGCAGACATGCAAATGATACAGAACACCTCAGTACCTCATCTATTTGTGTCTTTCCCGCGACATTGAGCAGGATGAAGAGAGGAGCCGGAGGCAAAAAGGAAATACTGCGTCTTATCTTCCTCTAATATCGCGCCCCTCCCACAGGGATGCAAATGGAACGGGCCGCAGAAATGGAGCGATCTGCTGAGTCCTCTCCAAATGCTATTTTCACAGGCACTACAGGTTGCCCTCTCTTATCTACTAAAGCCACTTCAATTACAAGCTGTCATGGGGGGCAATGAAGATGGAGGGCAGAGACAAAGAGAGAGAGAGAAAAACGCTTTGTATATCTGATGTTTTAAGCCGTGTCCGAAGAGAACATGCATTTTTATGAGGGGTCACATATTGAAGTCAATCTGCACAACAGGACAGAATGACAATACGCTCATTCTTGTTCTGAAATTCCATGCAAAAACATTTACACAAATGCAGCTCTATGACTAGAAGCAGGGCATGTTTGGGGAGCTGTGCTATATTTGGAGCACGAGAAGCTGCAATAAATGGAGCGAGTCACAGAAAAAGCGAGCGATAATGTGTTACAGTCTGGTAATGTAGCAACATGCGATAATAGACCACCTGCAGCCTACACAGCTCACAGCGTCAGTTTGTGCAGAGAAAAACCGGGCTGCGGAGCTCCTCTCAGACAGGCGGAGGAAAATGGGCCGCTTCCTGACCTTTTAATAGCTGAATAAGTGAGCAATGCTAATCGTCACCTGAACATGTGCATTAGGAAAGCCCATGCTCCATCAAGCAGTCATCAAGACAAGACAAAGAGCCAAAATACTCCCTCTCTAGGCCTTTCTTCAGCCTCTCTCGTCCCTTTTGTCAAATATATAATTGCAGGGCTGAGGAAGAGAGATATGGAGCCAGCATGTTATTTTAATGCAGTGTCAACTCAAATGAAGGTCGTGTAGTGGGAAGCGCTTCCCTGAGCAGAGAGCAATTATGGTTTTCAGCGTGCATAATCAGGCACCCACAGCAGATGGCTTTGAGAGGACGCCAACACAAGAACAGCTCTTCACTACTCG